TTCTGTTTTCAGGGGGAAATACACCACAGGCCAAACTAGCATCCATAGCAACAATCTTTTCAAACTATCCACTAAAGCATAGAAGATCACAAAAGACAGGTGTATTTTCAGGGAGAATTAGGGACATATGTCTTTCTTCTTTTTCCACCCCTGTCACTCCTGTTGCAAGTCCCTTGCTTTAAGGTTATATTCATTGGTTCAATCCTACACACATATATACACAAACACATCTCTGCAGCCTTATGTTTGAAATATGTCTTTGTATTCTGTTTTACCTTCTTGTGCTATTTTTTTAATGGAACATTCTCATTATGAAAAAAGTAACTCTCTGTTTGCTTCCCCTTACTATGCTAGGATCAGCTTGCAGTAATTTAGTCCAAGTGAAATGATAGCTCCTTAAGTAACATGCCCACTTGCATGATAAATGTTAAGTATGCATGTGCATTATAAATGGTAATCCATTTGGATTACAGGTATTACAAACCATTTTTGTTTTGCTTTGCTTTTTAAGGACTACAACTTGGAATCATGATTGCTATCTGTAAGTTATCTGAAACAAATTAATGGGGGGGGGGTGTCAGTAAATTATTGTTTCATAATCATGCTTAAAATCCCCAACAAGTAGCATTATAGATATTTGGTTTCCCTCTTCTAATCAAGGCCAACTCACTTAGAAGGGGTGACCAATTGTGCCTCCCCCCTGCCTTCAGCCAGAAGGACCTCTGCACCTGCTCTGGTGCCACAATAAACAATCATTCCCAGAATTCCATAGCCTCAAGCCATAGCAGTTCAAGTTGGGTTAAACTGGATTATTTCTGGAGTGCGAACACAGCCTTAGACCATGCTTTGGTTCGAGGAGTTTTCAAAATAAGACATTCTGTGAAGATGCTGCTATGTATTGCCCTCCTGGCTGGTTCTTGCTGCAGCAAATGGTATCTGAGGGAAATACCTGCCATAGCTCTCTAGAACAGCAGGTGTAGTGCCTTGCTTTGAAGGGTCCCCAGAGTAAGGTATCTAGCAGAGTCAGTGACATCAGAGTGAGAAGCCCACTTCACCCACAATAACTCAGTCTGCGGGCGCATTCACACTAGCATTTTTGTGCCGAGTAAATCCGGGACATTCAATGATGCAATAGCTAATCAAAGTTCCCACTACGTTTATCCCGATCGAATCTCTCCATGGCAATATAACCCTGTTGACATTCACATTGCCATTTGTATCAATTGAAAATTGCCATTTTGATTGTTCTTGAGTTTTTTTAAAATGTCAATCAAATGATGCACATCTACGTCACACTGTTTGGGTGACATTTTCCCAGTCTAGAAACCTCCTTGCCAAGAAACACCCACGATAGCTTCTCCTTGGGGGGATTCCCCCGACAGCCTCTGAAGGTGGCATTGGCAAGCCCCTCTGAAGAACCCTTGGCAAGAAACCCCTGTGACAGCTTTGCCCTGTCAGCCTCGGAAGATGGCATGGAAAGCCAAGGGTTCTTCAGAGTGGCTTCATTTTTCTCAGAGTTATACTGAAGCAGTTCTTACCTTGGTTCTTCAGACCCCTAATCCCCACCCCCACTGATGTTTTTTTAAAAAAAGTTAATCGAATCATGTGCACCTTTGTCCTACCAATGATGCCAGTATTTAAAGGCACTGTCTACTGCAGCCATGCAATAGCACAATGTGCATAAGCTGTCAATTTATTTTAAAAAAGTACACCATCTAATGGAATGTTCCCAGGAGAACTCTCTCTCTGGCTTTGACTTTGGCTGGCAGAGAGAGAGGAAAGGGGTGGGCATGATCCGCCTCATGCACATTAACCTCTCCCTTTTTGTGCTCCGAATTGAATCGACAGCAAGTTCCCATTTGTGGCTGGTAAAAAATGACCGGTTCTTTTGAAAAGACATGCTAAAACCCCAGTTCCAAAAGAACCGGGTTAAGGGAGATTTGCACCGGCCCACCTGGAATTCAGGTCCGGAAAAACCGGCGCAAGTGTGAGTGATCCTCTTTTAAACCGGTTTGCAACGTAGTGTGAATGGCCCCTAAGAAAGGAAAGGACCCCACAGAGCAATGCACTAAAGGGAAGTGTGGGGCACTCAAGGATGAAAGGTAGCAGGAGAAGGTGGGGATGAACTGAACTGCCCAATGTTGCCTGAAAATATTACTTCTTTAAGGAAAGAATTGTTATTGTTATGTGACTGCAGATTTTGCCTCCAACATATGGTGACCCTATCACGATTTTATCGTAACAAGACTGATTCAAAACTAACCATTTTTGCACCAGAAAACACATGCATTGGAATAATTTCCCAAAACCGTTTACAATGTACAAATACTAGGTGAACATTGGAAAGATTTCTTATCTCTGTGTTAGTCTTCCCAAATGACATGTTTCATTGTGTACAAAATTTTTGATTTTTTTCCTGCAAAACCTACAGTTTTGAGTAAAAATCCATGTGTTTCTGGAAACGGGGTGGTGAGAGAGGGTTGTGCAAAAAATGATTTTTTTGTGCAAACCACCAACTCACCAATGTTTTGCAGAAAAGAAATGTGTATTTCTGAGCAGGACAATTTCTGGAAACATTCCAGGATGTGTGAATAATGGGTGATAACTATGTAGAATTACTCATTTTCTCTTACATCAGGGAGTTTTTTCATTCTTGCACGTTAGGACAAAATAGTCAAAAAATTTACATTCCTAGCTTTGTTGTGATGTTTCATTTATACTTTTAATCATCAAATATTTTTTTCCTTACCCTGTCCAACAGCCATTCTTGTTCTGGTTGTTCTTACCACTGCTGTCATTGCTGTCACTACTCTAGGACAAAAGAAAAAGAGGTAAGATGGTCATGTAACTTTCTGTTGAAATAGAATTCTTACTAAGCAACTATGATATATAATATAAAATATATCAACCTGTTGGGCATTTTTAGAAGACAAAAGGCCTTTGCAGACTGCCAGAAATAGTGCACTTTAAATTGAGGCACTGCCCTGGCTCAGTGCTAGGGAATCATGGGAACTGTAATTTATTGTGGCACCAGAGCTCTCTGACAGAGAAGGCTCAATGTCTCAGAAAAAAAATGCAATTCCCATGATTCCCTAGCACTGAGCCAGGGCAGTGCCTCAATTTAAAGTGCACTATTTCTGGCAGTCTGCAAAGGACCTTAGGCACTTTTTTGCATATATGTAATAACTGCACGAAGGACACTCTTGAAACTACACTTCCAAAACAACTTTAAAAGTGTATGGAAATAAAAATAAGATTAAACACATAATAATTTTGTACATGTAGAGCGTTAGATGATAATAATGAATCCCTTGCATGTGCTAGTTCAGTCTTTATTGCACAACAAATTGTTGAAATCTGGCAAATGTGTTCAATCTTTTTTTCATTATAGGAGCATATTTTGCTTTCTGTTCTCAAATGCTTTTCTTTTTCTTGAGATCTTACAATGTGAATCAAGAAACAAAAATGTCTGTTGATGGTGATGAAACATGGTTTGCAAGTAAGAAACAGCACACACCTGATTTGGGCCTTCAAAGGTATGCTTTCATTTTCTGATAATCATTGCAACACTGAAAATAATTTATAGTAGGAACTAGTGACTTTTGCCTGCTCTTGGGATTTTTGTTGAGACAAGGAAACTGGATCCTGTGCGGCCAGTTTTTTGTGTTGTCCTGGTTCCAGATTAAACCACACATGTCCTTGAACCTCTTAAAAATTACTATGAGGGGGTTTTGTGTGTGTGTGTGCACCTTCAAGTCGCCTTTAAACATATGGTGACCCCATTAATTTCTTAGGATTTTCTTCTTGTTGTGTGCCTTCAAGTAGTTTCCAATTCATGGTGACTCTAAGAAATTGTGCAAATTGAGTCCACTTTAAGGGTTAGGGTTAGGGTTAGGGAATCATGGGAACTGTATTTTATTGTGGCACCAGAGCTCTCTGACAGAGAAGGCTCAATGTCTCAGGAAAAAAAAAACAATTCCCATGATTCCCTAGCACTAACCCTAACCCTTAAAGTGGACTCAATTTACACTATTTCTGGCAGTCTGCAAAGGCCCCAAGACTCTATCAGAGGGTTTTCTTTATAAGATTTGTTCAGAGAGGATTTGACTTTGCCTTCTTCTGAGGCTAAGAGAGTGTGACTTACCCAGTGGTGACCTTGGGCAAATCACACTTTCTTAGCCTTAGAAGACGGCAAAGTCAAACACTCTTTGAACAAATCATGACAAGTTGATTTCCATGGTCAAGCATGGATTTGAACACGGGTCTCCAGAGTTCTAGTCCAACACTCAAACCACTATACCATGCTAGCTCTGCTCATGGTTAAATCTCTAACCGAGAGCTAGCATGATACAGTGATTTTAGTGTTGGACTAGTACTCTGAGTCCATGGTTCACGTTCCCATTTGCCTCTTGATATCTTGTGAGCAAATCCCTGCTAAGCCATGGAAACCCACTGAGTGATCTTGGGCAACTCACACTTTCTCAGCCTCAGGAAGGCAAAGGCAAGCCCAAAGGCAAGCCTTCTCCGAACAAATCTTGCCAAGAAAACCCTGTGATAGGTTCGCCTCAGGGTTGACATAAATTGGAAATTACCTGAAGTATTGAACCTAAAGCAAGAGTAGAAACATTAAGTAACTGAGAGGTTTGATAAGTTCTTTGTACATTATAACTTATAGTAAATTACAAAGCATGAAATTCTCTGAAATGTATGTTTATTGTTCTTTGGACCAATGGCCTGAATCTATGGTTTAAAAAACCCAACAGTGCCATTTTAGTAACTAAGGCTGAGATCTCTTTGAGTTTTGCATAGAATTAGTTTATTTCTTTAGTCCTATGAAGACAGTGGGCCATCTACTAGGGGAAACTGAATGTCTTAAGGACTCATGGGGGTATTTATTTTCAAAAGTACTCACTGCTTGCAGAAGATTTTAAAAGTGTGTACTTTTACTGAACTTCTCCCTCTTATATGGAAACAAAGAAGCTCCTGATTCATAATTAAAAGGCAGTGTGGTATAGTGGTTTGAATGTTGGACTATGACTCTGAAACCAGGGTTCAAATCCCTGCTTGGTGACCCTGGGTAAGTCATACTCTACCAGACTCAGAGGAAACAATGGCAAACCTCCTTTGAAAATTCTTGCCAAGAAACCCCTGTGATAAGTTCACCTTAGAGTCACCAAAAGTCAGAAATGACTTGAAGGCACACAACAACAACAAAAATTTAAGCTCATGTAGATTTGAAAGTTTGCTTGTATTTTTGAAAAAAGGAATTGCTTCTTTGGAATCAGTTAAAACTGCCTTCAAGTTGTTTCAAACTTATGGCAACCCTAAGACAACGAAAGGGTTTTCTTGGCAAGTTTCTTCACCAGGGTTTGCCATTGCCATCGTCTTAGGCTGAGAGGCTGTGACTTGTCCAAGGTCGCCCAGTGGGTTTTCATGGCTGAGTGGGGATTTGAACTCTGCTCTCCAGAGTCATAGTTGAATGACTACACCATGCTCGCTCACCATATAAATTAATTAAATGGATACTAGCATTAATTTAAATCCAACTGTTAGGGCAAATTAGGGTAGACATATTGAATAAATAGTAACATGGTAATTCAACACTTTTGTAAGCTCTATGGATTAATGGGTCTACCTTCATTTAGACTAATAATTGGATATTGGATATTAATTTTGACTGAATACTTTTTGGATTTCAGTGCTTTTTGGGTTAATTTTGGATTGCGTTATTCTTGCTTTGATACTTGTTTGATAATTGATAATTTGGTAGTTGATGGTTTAAGTTGTTAATTTTAATCATTGCATACATTTTATAAATGTCTACAAATTTTAAGTACCGGTAGTGTTTACCCATTATTTCCATGTATCATGGAGGGCTTCATTTGAAAGTTTTCAAAAATATTTTGTAGCCCGCTGAAGTATTCTCCTGCTTTCTTTTTCTGCCCTCTGTCATCTTTTTTGCTTTTCTTTGATATGTTCAGGATGAATATATGAAATTTATTAAATCTAAGCTTAATTTTGTTTTTTTGATGCAGGTTATCATTTGGGCATTTTTAGAATTTGTTTAATCAGAATCAATCAGGCAGAAGCTTCTTCCACTCCTGTATGTGGGCCCTATCTGTTTCTGTTTATGCAAGATGAATGTTTACATGGAAAAGTTTGAGAGGAAGAGCAAGCCAAGTTTTTCATGTGTTATGTTTGCATGAGCCTCTGATCACCCCCCATCACTTCACAAAGACTAAAGTACACTATAAAATTTATGTTAAAATGGAAGTGGCTTGAAGAATAGTTCTGAGGAACTCAAGGTGTGGTCATTGTATTCTTTTGGTACCAATAAGAAAATGTTTATCTGGGACAGTTTGGCAGACAAGCAAGCCGAGGCACATTTTTCTTCTGTCATGTTTGCATTAGCTTCTCATCAACCTCATAATTATATAAAAGTCTGAGACACTGTGTAATTCAACATTTGAGTTCTAGGAGAAATAGTTGTGTAAAGAATTTCTGTGCTGACTACTTCCAAAGCCAACTCACCATTAGACAGAGCATGATGCCTGCCTTAGCAATAAGGTTCAAATGGCACCAAGCAGTGGTAATGGGCCAGGGCCATGTTGCCTGTCCTGTGTTACCTGTGGCCCTTTGGTGTTCTATCTTGACAATCAGCATTGTTGAGGTTAACTTCAGCTTTTATCAACTTGGGTAACCTTTGAGGCGGTACTTTTCTGACTTTGCCTCAGGCAGCAGAATGTCTTGGGTTCAGTTGGTATACTGCTGTGTTGTTGTTGTTTTTTAAGAATAAAACAAAATTAGTAAATAGTAGTATAGTATTAACTATAGATTAATAAGTCATTTCTGCTGATTAGGATTTTCTTTGAAAGAGGATGATTTCCCCCTCTCAATAGTTCTCTGAAAATAAAATGTTTTATATAGTGGGAAGTTATTTTTCTCCATGGTGTCAACTAGCTAATAAATACAATGAATAAATTCCTTAAAAGTCAGTACAAATCTTTTTGAGTGTTTAATGTTATTCTAAATATATACTCGTCCCTCCACATTCGCTGGAGTTAGGGACACAGGAGCCCTGTGAATGTAGAAAAACTGCAAATAACAAAAACACTATGTTTTTACCTGAGAGAACACCTCTCTAGGAATCTCTATATCCTCCAGTGCAACACTGCCGCCAGCATCTGCCAGGCATTGACGACAGAATTGTGCTGGAGGAGCTACAAATGCTTAGTGGGATGTTCTCTCTAGGAATCTCTAGGTCCGTCAGTGAGACATTTGGTTAAAGTTGACCATAGAGTTGCACTGGAGGACCTAGATATTCTTAGAGAGAACATATTAATAAAATCTGTGAATAATCAAAGCTGCAAAAGTCAAAGCTGCAAATGTGGAGGGCCGAGTAATTCAGTCTAACCAAAATCAAGACAGTATGTTACTTGTATCTGCATGGTGATGCAGTAAAGGTCAATCGGATGCCACTATTAGGCACATTTACTTGGAGATATGTTCCTTTGAACTCTAGGATTTGGTTTTAAGAATCTGCATTTTAAAAATTCCCATCTTAAATGTTTGTTGAATTTCATAGGGAGATTAAATTACTTTTCTAAGTGCTTACTCAACCTAAATGTTTATATGTACTGATTGAATTAGGCCCCCAATATATTCCTCCACCACTTCTTATCTATATACAGCCAGCTAGACAATCACAGCCCTCCTTCGAACCAACATTGGAGTTTTATTACACGGGGAGCCCCATGCAAAATCGCTCTTTAAAGTAAAAAACAAAACAAAACGCAAAAGCGGAAGCTTTTAATGAACAGGATTTCTCCCGTTCTGCCCAGTGTGAAAAGTGAAAGCGCTGTTAAAAGAAGTTTAATCCGAACGGAAATTAAACAAACACTGCTTCTTTTTACTTTCGGGATCTTCCAAAAGTAAAAAGAAGCAGTTTTTGTCTAATTTCTGTTCGGATTAACCTCCTTTTAACAGCGATGTCGTCTGAAAAAACACCCGCTTTTGCAGGTTTTGTTTAATTTAAAGCCCCGTTTCTGCACGGGATTTCCCCCGTGTGATAAACTCCATTGAGAATAGTTTTATCAGTGGCACCATTCATACAGCATGTGTCAGAAGATGCACATCACTTTTAAAAATATACTATCCACTGAACAGAATCTGGGAATTTGTTTTATAATTTACCAGAAGGAAGATGCATCCTTTGTCCTTAAATGTTACAAACTAGCTTTGAAAAAGCACTTGGTTATAAATTAAAGTTGCTTGGGCCACATGTAGCTCCCTGCCAAGCCCCTTGAGTCCCCTCTGTTATTATTACCGTATTTTCCGGCGTATAAGACGACCCCCCCCACTTTAACCACAGATTTTACAGGTTAAAAAGTAGTCTTATACACAGGAAAATAAGGTATTTTGTTTTTAAAATGGACCATTTCAGACAGTTCTTCTCCCCAAGCTGGACTAAAAATCAGCTGTAAAGATGATGGTATAATTCTGCTACCCCAAATGAAATTACACTTCTCAGACAGAAACAAGTAAAAAAAAAGAGGACTAGAAGTTATGCAACATCACTACCAGTGTATCAGGAAGCACTGGTGCAGTTTGTGGAAGGGGGAACAGTCATGAAAGCTAAAATTGGCTTCCACCCCCTGTGCAAGTGACGACCCTGCCATATATATTATTCTTATTCTCTCCTATTTAGTCACTAACCTGTCTCAGCCTATGTCATGTGTTCACCAACATGCTATGTAATCGGCTGAAAGTATAACTCTGAGAAAAATGAAGGGACAGAATTGCTGGAATGATGTCCATGATATTACAATGGTTGTCTGTTATCCCCCCCCCCCCCGTACATTGCTGTAAATTATTTTGTGTCATGTACTTTTAAACAAATTTTGTCCTGCCCATAGTTTCCTCATTCTTTTGAAAGGAATGGAAAACCAGTGCAAAAGAAAAGGGTGAGGCTGCAATTTAAGAATAACTAAACAAAACCCTACCTTAAAATCTCAACTTGCTTTGCTTTGGATGATGTAACATTTCCTCAGAAAGGAAATTACAGTATCTGTTCCTTTTGGCATGACAACCAAGAATGTGGTAGTCATGCAGCTGCTGACATCAATGGATTAGTTTTTACCTCATTAGATATATCACTATCAATATACAGTTGATTATCCATAGAAGCAAGTCAGTTAAAAATAAGAAAATGCCAATGTTCTAGAGGAAATTATATTTCTGAAATATTCTACATGATTAAATAGACAAATCAGGGAAAGGCTCTTTTCAGTGTCAGTCCCTAGGACTCTGAGCTCCATCAAAAGGCTATCTTTTTTCTTTCATTCCTTTTTTAATGGCCCTCTGCAAAATAAATAAAATATTTCACTTTAAGGAGTTTTTTAAAAGTGATTTTTGAAGTGGTTACATTATTTTTGCTCATTTGTATTGTTTATATTTTTCTCTGTTTATTGCAGTGTTTTATGAAAGTTAAATGCATTTATTGTTGTTTTCAAACTTTTTTTAATTTGTAAGATCTTGTTCTAATTTATGTTAGCTTCACTTGTTCAGGAAACGCAAGGTATACATGTTTTAAATAAATATTTCTTTTTAAAAAGGTGTTTACAGTGGTGCTGTGAGCATTAAATACTCTGAGAAATGTATACATCCAATTCAGATACTAACCTTCATTCAGACGCTTGTGCAAACAACAATACAGTGGGTCCTTGGTATCTGCTGGGGTTTGGGTCCAGAACCCACTGTGGATAACAAAATCTGTGCATGCTTAAGTCCTGTTAAATACAATGGCATGGTAAAATGGTGTTCCTTATAAAAATGGTAAAACGAAGGTTTACTATTTAAAATTTATACATTTTTAAAATATTTTCAAACCATGGATGCTTGGACCAATGGATAAAAAAATCCGTGGATATGGAGGGCTGACTGTAGTCCCTATTTATTCTTAAGTCAGACATAGCTCTGCATTCCCACCTGGTAAAATGAACAACACTGTCCAATGCTTGGAGAGCCCCAAATGCAGACACACAGGACCCAAAGAAATCTGAATTGGCATAA